TATAGATATATTGATGATTTAATTAGTATTAATAATCCAGTAATAAGTAATTATATTGGTAACATTTATCCTACAGTTCTACAGAATGAGAACTTCTTCATCAAATACTGTAGCACATTACTTAAATTTAGATATTAAGATAATTAATAATTATAGTAATATTAATATTGATGATAAAAGAAATGATTTCACATTTCAAATTTTTGGACTTTCCTTTCCAAACAGTAATGTACCAACAAATGTCATACAGAGCATTATTCACTTACATCTTCTTAGGTATTGTAAAATTTGTAGCTGTGTACAGTTCTTAACATCTAATATATTAGTATCTAAATTGATTTTTAATGGCTTTAGTGAGAAAACTTTAATTAAATATTTTAAACTATTTTATAATAAATATAAAAACTATGTGCACAATAAAAATAATTAATAAATTTTATTGTTAGGGAAATAATTGGAATTACTTATTTGAACATTTTGTATGTTATATAGGTGGATTAATGTAGTTGTATCCTCTTCCCTACATAAGATCTGCTATTGTGTGAATCTATTTTAGGACCATTGGAGGTCCAGATAGTAGCATGGAAAAGGTGGAAGATGGGAGCTATACAAATAACTTAGGTTGGGCTTAGTATAATGATACCTTAACATGTTGGTATTTATGTCCAAACATCATATTGGGGCCTGAAATGCTAACTTCAAGAACAGTTTTGCTGTCTCCCCCATCGATTGTCTTGTATAACATAACTTAGATTTACTTCTGCTGATACCTCAGAAATTCAGGGCACATTAAATAATGACACATCTTATGATTTGTGCTTCAGTGTTGGATGTTTGTGTTGTGGCTGCATTTTTCGTTGGTTTTCTCTCTCTTTCCATAAAATTACATTTATTTATATTTCATCCAAGGTTTCAATATTCTGTGTAAAATTAATGCTATCCTTTCTTTTGATGTAATGTTTTATAAAACTTTTGTAGCTTTCTCAAGATATGTATATATATATATATATATATATATATATATATATATATATAT